TCGGTTGATGCCTCAAAAGATGCTTCTTGGGTGGTATCACATCTGCTAAAACTTCCTTATGTGGCTCCATAACTTCCGTCACCGATTTGTTTTGTATTTCGGCGAGTTGACGTATCGAGGCCATAGCCTGTTCACGCACGATCGTGTGCGGCGATGTCACTTGCTTGACTAATTCGCGGGTGACTTCGTATAAGCTCTTGTTTTGCGCTTCTATCAATTCCATGTTACCCTCTTGAATTCCAGGATTCACACAGACTCTTAGCATTTTTTCTAGATTTTCTTTTGCCATGTCGATAGCACCGTTAGACACTTCGTCGGTTAAATCCATCATCACAAATATGAGAGCCTTCAGAAAGACAAATAAGTGATTGAGAACCCATTTAGTAGCCATTCGTTCGAATAGAAACTTTATCGCTATGCAACCGCCAAGTTTAGCATACCAGGCGCGCTCGTAACACAGCGAACACATTCTTTCCGCTAGATACTCCATAAAGGGCAATTGACAAGCTCGTTCTTTGGAACCCAGAATATTCGTTGCTGTTTCTAATATTAATACAAGTGTCAAATACCCCGCTTTATATAGTTCTCTCTCATCGTGACCCATTATAACGGCAAGAGCATCAATTAGAACAAATGGGTCTTGACCTTGCATATCCTTTCGGATTTCCTTATCTGTCCAACTGAATAAACCAGCCTGTTGCGCTATGGCAATCATCGTGTAATGTCTCACAACAGCAACGACGGTGGCAAGAACTGAAGGTCTCAATTCTTTAATTTCTACTGCGACAAACATGCCAGTCAATGCAGTCTGCTGAACGTTTCGCGCCACAGTATCGAAACACTTATAATGTGATCCTTGTTGAGGCGGTATCTCTCCTTCTTTAAAACTCGGATGTGTAAACAAATCGTACCACAGATAAGCGGCGTCGTCCATTCTTAAGGATGCGGCCAAATAGCAATATATGATCTCCCAACATTGCTTACGGTAAAACACATCCGTCGTGTTGGATTTCAATGCATTGAACGCAGCCTCGATCACTTTTTCCATTGGAAAATCGATTGGCTGGGATAGTCCTTGGAAGTAAACTATTACATTAGGAGAATTAGTTTCACGATCGTTGTATTCCAACTTTTGTGGCTCAATCATCATTCTTCGATTTCCACCACCAAATTTACCAAGAACCCGGAAGGCGACAACACCTTGATCGTTAGAATTATGTAATGTCCTCCAGAGAGCTTGCATTAATTCGGCACGAATTGGTTGTATATGTTCATATAGAAAATCTGGCTGAAGATTATCAACACATAACTCTAGAGTACGAAGACCTTGGCTTACTAGGCAATAACTTCCGTTGAGAGCGGAGACCAAGGGATCCATTAGCATCGGAAGATATGGTAACAGAGAACTGAGACGCACGGGTACAGTTAAGCACAGTTCAACAAAGAGATCTTTCATATGTTGTCTATGTAAGCCGGATTGTAGTCTATTCAATCCTTCCAGCATATTAGGAAGCAAAGGTAAGAATTCTTGATATAATAAGTCATGAGAGCCACCACCTATAGATCGAAACAATGCGCGTAGCAACAGAAAATAATTGTACGGTTCCTTTGCTGACATTGCTAGCTCCATGGCACGATTTACGATTAGGTTCAAATGTGGCCGCAACATATGCTCATTTTCGGCAGGAAATAACGATACACTGCCGAAAACAAGCTTGAACAATTTTAGATACAGGTTACTACGTTCCACGTTTGAGCCCATTTCGCTCATTCGTTCCAGTAAATATTCCACTAATATTGTCGCGAATGTCGAAGAAACAGTGTGGCTCGACAAGAATGAACTTCCAATTATCTGCAAAGCGCAGTTTTTGAATATTCTTTCAACCATATAGTCTATGGATACGGAAAAGATTTCTTGGAATGTTTGAGGGTTCATTTGTGTGAATACATTGCCGAAAAGATCTAACACCTCCTTTTCTTCTCGTGTCCGTATAGTTTGAGATTGTATCGGTCTGCCTGGCTGCGCGGGAACGCCTATGGCTGGTGGTCCAATCGTATAAATGTCTAGAGCCGGTAAAGCCCACTTAACAAGTTGTATATAAATCAAAGTCTCTTTCGGCTGAAGCTGATTAGTTTGCGGCACCTCGTTATTTCGATTATTGATGCAATTAGATGTTATAGCTTTAGTACCGTGTACCAAACTCTTCACTAAATTCCTGTAATCTGCCACATTGTAACTCATCGCCTGTGAAGTCGGAAAACCAAACTTCGATTTTGGCGGTTCTTTCTCCTCACTTACGTCAAGACAAGGCTTTGTATCTTCGGTCGTATTGTCCACTACGGCTGGCCGTAATTGTTTCGTTTTGTTTCGCAGAATTGGAATATAAATCTTGGCAATGGTTTTAAATTTTAGAACGAAAACCAAGAGTATACGTATCAACAATTCGCGTCCTTGTGTACTGTTTTCGGCATCGGATCTTTGCCTAACTGTATCCACCAGGTTCATCAGTAACTTACAAGAAACCATCTGAACAGCTGTGGGTAAGGTTTGATCAAGCAAATTCTTGCCATACAAGTGCACTGCTCTGGACACGTCACTGAGGGGCAACTGAAGCCTAACATGATGTACTAAATCGGCGAGTGTGGAATAAGCTAGAGGTCTCAAGGCCTCGTGAGCGGTCCAACCGTGACCAATAAAAATATCCTCATTAAAGAAGATCTCCATATGAGGAATAAAATGATTTCGTAGATCCGTAGCTAGTATGTGGCGTGAAGCTATAACGAGTTCCTTACGTAAGTGAGCTACTTCCATCGGACAGAGAGTAAATAAGCCAAGTATACCTTTGACCAACATCGTACTGTTTTGCGATATTAAGTCTTGATAAAATCTCATGACATAGGCAAGAAATGAAAGTGTTTTGACTTGTGCGCCCATAAAGTCAACGAAGACTTCCTTGTTGAATCCTGGTGATGTTCGATGCTGGAGACTAGGTTGGAGTGATATAGTCGTTATCACAATTGGAACGAAATCTGATACATCCTGGTGTACATTCTGCTTGTATAATTGATTTAATAAAACTACAATTATTGGTAATTCTTGAAGTACCTTGAGGGACAGCACTGCTTTCGGAATCAAATTATACTAAAAATAATAAAATATATCATTGATTTTATTTTTTCTTTTTCTTTTCGTTGATTTGTGACATGTACTTTCAATCATGCTCTACATACGAATATTACGAATTCTATAATAGAATCAAATAAATAAGAAACTTACAGTCACAACAGTACCATCCGCAGCTTTTTTTTCGCTTTGTATCGCTGTAATCGTAAATGTTTCCTTCAATAGAGCTTCTATATTAATTTCTGACAAATCTTTCACACGTAGAGGAGGACGCGGCTCAAATATTTTTGATAAATTTTTTGGTAACTCGCTATATACCGATTTGACAAATTGAAGGAAATATTGAATCTATAGCGGAAAAAGAAAAAAATGATTAAAATACTTTAGATATAAAATAAATGAATAGCATAATACATGACTTTATATGAAATCAATTGATTCATAATCAGCGAGACTCCGGAGTCTCAAATTCAAATTCGTTTCAATTCGAATTTCTCTATATATCTTTGATTATAAAAGAGAGAGCTTGAAGCGTTCAAAAATTGTAAATAAAAGAATATAAGGTCAATTGTAATTCAAAACAATAAAGTGGTACATATATGCATTATTACTCACTTCTGGATTAAATGTCGGTTTATATTGTTTATGAAGATCGATTATTATGCGTAAACACACCAATACGTTTTCTTCATTATCTGTTTCTAATAATTTGAATATAAGAGTCAAAATTTGCCTAACATATGGACGTAAGTATTCATTGCTTGGTAATCTGTGTATCATTTCCAGAATTAATTTTCGAACTTGTTGAATATTGTATTCTGATATAAAGTGCGGCTCTCCCTCTTGCAATATCTTCATAAAGATTTTCATCATATGGTCGAGAAATCCCGCATATTGTGATGAACACATGATGATCTACAATTAATTTAACATATTGTTATAATTAATATAATTAAATATATAAATTTTTTTCAAAAGATAGTTAATGATTATTATGCTGCATGAATAATCTTGATATTTGTTTGATAGTTTATATACCTCAAAGTTTTCTGATAATTCTTGAGCTGCTTTCAGTTTCAGTTCATCTTTTGAAACTGGATCAGCCAGCATGGTGACGTATGAACGATATGTGTTCATTTGTGTTACTGGATCAGGTGCCATTTTAATAGTTATAAAAGATTCTTGTAAATACTATAGACAGTCCATTAGAAGATCTAAACATCAAATACATACATATAGAAACGTGCAAGAAAATTTAAATTAAAACTAAATATATAAATGTGATGTGCGTAATTGCTACATAAAGTAGTTTTCTTTTTTATATCTTTATAGTCCAATTTTTAAACTTTTGAACAAGAATTGTCTTATGCTACTTGTTAATATAAAGTTATAAAGCATACATATATTAACAAATTTATAATTAAATATTAAATATCTAAAACAAAAATATTTATTTCTCACAAATATTGAGTTAAAGGAATATATATGTCTTAAAATCAATGAGTCTATATTGTGTAAACAAGCCTTAGCAACTACTTTGATCAGTATACTAGAATCTTTTTTTCATTTGTATAACGTATATTTAAAAAAAGAATATGTACTATGTAATTTGTTGACTTTTGTAATAGCATAGTGCATATAAGATAATATGCAAGTTATAGTAGACGATATAAAAATTCTATGATATAAAATACACTTCCGAACAAAGATGTCCTACAAACTCCATGTAGCTCACGAGATACTATACTCTTATTGTAGATGTATAAGACACTGGAAACGCAATGCAGGTTTCAGTTTGCTGGTATTGCTACAAGTGATAAGATGCAATCTCGGCTGATTTAAATTTTTAATTTAAAGATTAAAGCACATTAAGAACATGGATGAAACAACGGTTGATTCAATTTTTTCGGGATCCTTGAAATCCTTACCGCCTGTCAGTTCGAAAATTGTGCGGATATTTACGAGCTCGACCTTTACTGGTAAGCTAATAATAGTCACAAGAGATAATAAAATAAGTAAAGTAGAAAATTTAATATTAAAAAATTGAAAGAAAACAGAAAAGCAATATAAAATAAAATAACTTAATGCAATATGAAATAGTATATATTTACTACATTTATTGACTATATATATTTTATTATATTTTAGACACAACAATGGAAAGAAATACTTTGATGGCGCAGTGCTATCCCAAAATTAAAGACTATTGCAGAGAAAAACATGGCTTAGAATTTCAGGTAGGATATTACTTCAGAAAAAAAACATAATCAATCAAAACATAATCAAACAACATATCAAAACATAATCAAACAACATATCAAAACAAATTATTTAGCAACTGATATATACTTAGATATACATAGTAAAACATGAGTTATATATCTTGAATAGAGAAATTGATTTTTACGGTGCCAGGTACCAGTAATACATATATAACTCGTCCTTTTAATGTTAACCTGTTTTAATGTTGACCTGTTAATCTTTGATAAAAATCGGACATTTAGATCTCACACACACACACACACACACACACACGCGCGCGCGCGCGCGCGCGCGCGTGTGTATGTATGTGACCTAAATGTAATTATCAAGTTCGATAAGTCATATAATTAAATAGATTTGAGTAATTGACAAAATCAGATGTTGTATAAATCATTATCATCGTATTTTATTTATCTAATTAATCATTTTTTTCTTATCAATATATAATAATATATAATAATATAAACTAACATATTTTAATTATTATTTAAAAAAAATAATAATTTGCCTTACGTAATAGTTAAACCCCCTTTTCAGGTGGTTGATATGAGATGGGGTGTACGTGATGAAGCTACTGACGATCATATGACTACAGAGCTGTGTATGAGAGAAATAGAAAATTGTCAGAGATTGTCCATGGGACCCAATTTTGTTGTCAGTAACGTGCTCTTTAATTTAAATGATTTACTCCTCAATTGCCAAAATTATTTGTCGAGAGGAAATTATATACATATTTAACTTCAGAATTATAAATATCTAGTCTTCCAGTAAAAAATCAAACTGTCTTCAAGCTTTAGAATTAAGATTATCAAATGTATTTTTTTAATAAAAAAATAACTAATATAATAAAAATTTCATATGCAGGTATTTCTTGGACAAAAGTATGGATATCGTCCTATACCAACATATGTTCTTAGTTCAGAACTAGAAATGTTAAGAACAGAATTGGACGGTCAAGGAATGGATGTTAGTCTTTTGGATAAGTGGTACAAGAAGGATAGCAATGCTGTGCCACCTACAAGTATATTGCAACCGATCTCATCTATTCTTAAAAATTTTAACAATAAAGTAAATAACTTTCAATTAGTTTAGTAATTCTACTTATTTAATTCAATGACTACCAATTATATTATGCAAGTATTTCTTTCTTGTAATTATACTTTGTGTTTGTACATCTTTAAGAGAATACCTAAACTGCAACAAGAGGATCAAGCAATCTGGTGGGATACTATGTGCAAAATGCAAAAATTGTTCAGGAAGGGCGCGCAATCTTTATTTAATTCCGGGAAGTTTGACAAAGATACAATGCATAATTATTTCATGTCTGGTAAGAAAAACCCAATAGACATAATAAATGGCTCGATTTTAATAAAATATATACCAATAAAATAAAAAATAATAAATTTTATACGTTTCCATTGATAAAGATAATTTTTCATACAATTTTAAAAATAATCATTCAAAAAATATAAAATTATGTCCCAATATAATTTATCTAAAAATTTTTAATCATTAATATTAAGACTGAAATATTTTTTAGACGACATTCAAATACTGCATATCATACACATTTGCATTCTAATAAAATCTTAATATAATAAATCCTAAAACAGTGACTGAGAGGGAAGTGATTAATGGCGTATTGAACGTTAAAAATACGAAAAACCATTGCCTGGCGTACGTGCGATATATAAACAATATTAATCTCCAAAATCTAAGGAAGGCCAGTCTATTTCTGGATATAGCTAACAGAAGTTTAGACAATGAAGCCTCGAAATTGTTGGCCGATCTTAGAGATGAACGGCTACCGAATAAAATTGAAAGCACGAATCTACAGAGGTACTTTCCCCTTTCCCGAAAATACACAATAAAATATTTCTGTTGTGATTACTTTGCTTTATGCAGGTACACGGTCGAATGGATAGGAAGAGAGGGTCTGGATCCTGAAACCCATGGCGAGTACCTTCAGCATTTCATCACTCACTTTTACAGAAACATAGTGAAGCTTGTAGACCGCGCCATGAGGAAGGAAGACAATTCCGCGCAAGGACAAATAATAACCGAGATTTTGCAACACCTGCACGCCTGCAATAATTCTGTAAAGGTAGAAATTTGTCAAGATTTTAAATTTAGTTGAAATATAATATGTTAAGTATTAAATTAATTTGTTGTTGTTATGCTCTTTTAAATAAAGTTAGAAGCGAAGTTTAACAAAAATAAAACTGACAAGCTTATCACATTCACAGGTATTTTACGGACGCGAGGACACGTTAGAGAGAATAAAAAATTACATGCTAGGCGACAGCGATAAGCCATTAGTGTTATACGGAGAAGGAGGATGCGGGAAGACTTCCCTTTTAGCGAAGAGCGCAGGTTTGACGAGCAATACTTGGCTAACTGGTAAGAAACCGATCAGCATAATTCGATTTCTCGGCACTACTCCAGACAGCAGTGCGCTCACGCCCACGTTGATCTCAATCTGTCAACAAGTGAGTATTATTTATACTTCTCTCCGCTTTAAAATATGACAATGAATTTTTGTCATTATTTTCAGATCTCATACAATTATGGATTATCGTTTGAAGAAATCCCAGACGATCTGGTGCCGCTCACAGCCTACTTTAAATATTTGTTGACCTTAGCTAACACTCAACAGCCTATTCTACTGTTTCTGGATAGTGTCGATCAGCTGACAGGTGTACAGGGTAACAAATTATCGTGGTTGCCTACAAGATTACCACCAAACTGTAAGGTAAATATGAATGCAGTCATTAAATAATGTGAATATAATAAAAGAAAATAAATTACAAAACAAAAAAAAAAATTAAAAAAGAAAAAACTTTTAAGAGAAAGTTTAAATTCCGATCGTGCCGATTCTGACGACGAAAAGAATTCTAAGAATTCTTCGATTAACGTATACGTGTATGTTTCAGATGATTTTATCATGCGCAGCAGAAGAATCAAATCCAGTGATTTCGAGAGATTATCAGTTGTTACGTAGGATGATAGACACCGAAGAAAGCTTCATCGAGGTAACTGCCTTGGGCGAGGATTTAGCTACGGACGTGATAAGGTGAAGAAATAATCATATATTGTTAGAATTGTTAGAAAAAGATTTGCTTTAAATTGATAAAAAAAATATTGTCTATTTTAAAATTTGTATATTATTCACAATTCTTGTAGAATGTGGATGAAAACAGCCAGAAGGGATTTAAATAACTATCAATGGCGTTTGGTGGCGAACGCTATATCGAAATGTTCCCTACCGATTTTTGTGAAGCTTGTATTCGCAGAGATTTGTCGATGGCGTAGCTACACAAAACCGGCGGACACGCACTTAGCTAGCACAGTGATGGATAGTATAATGATGCTGTTCGAGAGGATTGAGAAGCAGCATGGCAAAATTTTGGTCTTCCACGCTTTGGCTTATATCACGGCTGCCAAGTCCGGCTTGTCGGAATCTGAACTAGAGGATCTGATTTCCTTGGACGATAAGGTTCTCGACGATGTTTATCAGTACCATTTACCACCGGTGAGACGCATCCCACCTCTGCTGTGGACCAGAATACGGAACGATCTGCCCAATTATCTGAGTGAAAGAGAAGCGGACGGTGTGAGCGTGTTAAACTGGTACCATAGACAATTCAGGGACACGGCCAAAGAGCGATACTTTAAGAATATGAACATGGCAATGTATTTTCACTCGATGATTGCGGACTACTATCTGGGAATTTGGGGAGGTGGCAAACCAAAGCCTTTCAAATACACCGAGATACAGAGACATCGGTAAATAGTGACATTGTTACGATAAGTAACATCTTGAATTTCAGTGAATTACTTCATGACAAAGGTAGAAAAATAATAATTCTCACAAACTCATATACAAAGATTTAGCTTTTTATTTTTAAGATAATAAAATTAATAATTTATTTAATCTGAAAAAAATGTCATATTAAAAAATTTAATCCAAAGGGAAAAGTTGATTTTACTAACTATTAAAGAAATAGTGTATAAAGTGATAAACTTTACATATTACAATTTGTAGATTCAATTTAACAGACAAGGAAGGTGTGGCAGATAGAAAAGTGCCGGAGCAACCATTAGCGTTTTATTCAAAGGAGGGAACTATCTCAAGATATAATTTACGAAAGGTACTACGAAAAATGCTATACAATAAAGATAATTGCTAAAGATATTTATTTTTTGTTTCACGACTAAAGTTTGGTGAATTACCATTTCACTTGGTAAGAGCAAGGCGCTTTAAAGATCTCTTCGAAAATGTTTTATTCAATTATGAATGGCTGCACGCTAAGCTAAGCTCTTGTCCCTTGCAAGCTGTGCTTTCTGACTTCGAAGACGCGTGTAACTTTGTTGATAATCAAAGTTTGGTCAGGTAAGGCCAGAGAGATCAAATATCTTTTCGGACAACACAAAAGTTGTAATGATCTCTTAATTTGTTAGATATTCTAACTTTTGCATGTCTCGATTTAGATATTTTAATTCTTTCAATATATTATATACAAATATTTATAAATAATTTATGGACACAATTATTTGATATTCTTAATAAATCAGAATATCTTTCCAGAGAACTTATGTTAGTTGCTGATGCTTTGAGATTAGGCGGTGCAATCTTGGGAAATCATCCTGACATGCTTGCGCCACAATTGATCGGTCGATTGTTGCCGGAGATCGGTGCAAATGTTAATGTAAGAATGTTGCTTCGAGCGTGTGATCATGACGGTGTTAAGAATTGTGCTCTGCTTCCTCTTTATCACTGTCTGCACACACCTGGTGGACCATTAAAAGTAATCTATACATTCATTTATATATTATAGCAAATTATTTGATACTTTTAATCAGAAAACTCGATGCTGCTTTCTTCAATAAATTGTAAAAATTATATACAACAAATAAAAAAGTCTTTTGTCTTCGTGGAACTGTAATTTATTTGTTAGAGGAATATCTTTAAAACATGACATCATTTTCTAGTATTCGTTGGAAGGTCATCAGTTTGCGGTATTTGGATTTTGCTTAACATCGGATTATCGGTACATTGTATCGATATCCAATAAATTTATCACCTGGGATCTGAGTACCAGTGACATGACTAGAGATGTTAATCCCGGCGTGGAGGGTATAATGCAACGATTAGTCTTAAGCCCCGACAACAGATATGCTGCGGCTTTTACGACCAATTATCAAGTAAATCAATAATCTGATTTTTGAGAAAACTGAAAAATAAAACTCCTCCCAACTTAAAGTTAAATGAATTGTATTTTTAATTTTTACATCTCAAACTTAATATTATAATTATAATATCTAATAATTATAATTATAATATCTTTTATTAACTCAGAGTTTCTCAATTCGACATTTTTTTTAGGAAAACTTCGAAATTAATTCAAAATACAGTTTCTAGTTAGCTATTTCATGACGCGTGATTTTCTATAGAGTGTCGTTTTGAATACCTTGACGAGCGAATTTGTCGTTATCGACAATCCTTTACCGAATGGGGACGCAGTGGCCGGCGTGCATTTAATGAATCAGTACGCCTTTATCTACGGGAAGCTAGGCTGGTGTAGATTCGACTTGCGAGGAAATCTGCTTGATACTCACAGCAACCCCGAGGATTCCAATAAATGGCCAATTTTATGTAAGAAGTAAATCATTATATTGAACGTATATTATATTGAATATATACATATTTCCTACATCATTCTTATTTTTATGTTTCCTTATAGGTATGGAGTATACAAATCTGGATCTCTACAGAATTATATTCTGGTCGGGGAGCCTCGACGACACACGTATGCTTTTGCATACTTACAGGAAGAAGACATCATTGGATCCGTTCCAGTTTCACAGGTGAGAAGACAGAACTGTTATTAAATTAAACAAGGACAAAGAATTTAATTATAATTTACAGAGATTTTAATTATAATTTATATTTGACTATTACAAGTCCTTTCTAATTTAGAACTGTTATTAACAGCGGTTGTGTTAAAAGAGCACAATAACAGAAGATTGTCATGGATTTTTTTCAGTGCTTTGATCATGACGAAGGACAAGGATACTTTGTACGCATGTACGAACAAAGATGATTATAGAATTACGAAATATAAAAGCGATGAGACCTCATCTTATTGGGAAAAAGTTTTCGACATGCCGCGAGCGTACAATGACGACGTGGAGTATCTGTTACAGCTGAAGTTGGATAGAGAGGAAGAAATGCTCTTGGCGACGACCGGAAATGGATTCATCGTGTGGTTTCTGGAAAGTAAAAGCGACGCGCATGTTTTAATGTTGCCGAACGGAGTCAGGAATATCAATACACGAATGATGTGTTCGAACTCTGTTATGGTCAGCGGCACCAAGAATTATGCTGTTGCTGGTGTAAGGTGCGCGTCTGAGAACTATCATCATTTTTTATTTAGCTTGAAGTTTTATAGATGGCGAGAAAAAATAAAACTTTATGAGATAATTCAATAATAAACATTATGCGCCGCTGATTCAATCCGTCGATATCAAATCTAATAGATATCTAATCTAATAGATTTTATAGAACAAATATTGAGATACAAACTATATTGTTAATTACGGCTAAAAGAGGAGAGGAATAAATAAATTGCATTTTAAAATGCAAAGAAATGACGAAAACTTATTCTGTATAACAAGAGTTTGACTTAAGGCTATAAATAAATTCAAAATTAAAATTCTACAAATTAAAATGAAGGAATATAATATTGCATTTTGATAAAGAAGCAATTTTTTAGCAGGAAATATTGAATAAATTCCATGTATTATCGAATATTTTATAAATTATAAAAAAAGAACAAAGTTACATGAGTTTAAATTGTCTTTCTTAGGAAAAATCTGTACGTTTGGTCGCTCGAGACGTCTGATTTGGTAAAGATACTAGATGCGCACTTTGCAAGGATCATTCAATTGGAAGCGTTGACTGTCGGAAATTGGAATAGCGTTGTAACGTCGAGCATTGATAGAAGCGTCAAGGTGTGGAATATCAACAATATTTTCGAACAAGTTCACGTCATAGACAGGCACGAACTACAGATAGACATGTTAAGGTAATCCTGTAAAGAAAGAAACAGAAGTAGAAATTGCGCGTGTAATTCACTTTGTATATTGTACAACAGTTTGGCCGAGGAAGGTAATTTGGCCGTTACAGTTACCAGAGATTGCGTGGGTGTTTGGGATTTATTAACGGGTAGACTAATATCGAAGCTGGCTGACAGTCCATTGGGAGCAATTGTTACACACGCTTGCATTACGCAGGACAGCAAGTAAGTCAATTTCATTCAATTTAATCTCATCAAATTGATTTAGTGAAATTGGATTTTTTTTATTGTGAAGTTTAATCGAAAAAAGCTTGATAGACTTAAAAGTAATTTTCATTTCAGGTATATTGTGTCGACGGAATCAGGCAATGTTCTCATTTGGAATAGAATTACGGAGCAAGTATTATTCAAGGAGGAGCAAAAGAACGTCAAGCAGTTAACATTGATAGAAAAGTCATCGAAGTTCATAGCCGTTTCGAGGCCTAATAATCTCACGGGAGTAGAAAACGTGCGAACTATGGCGATTCTCGTCATGAGAAGTATTCCTGGTAAGAGAATTTTCGACAATTCACACAACGCGAATATCTTGGAAGTTTTAATAAATACATATCTCATATTAGATGGTAAAACAATATTCTCTTTGGAGTATCCTGTAAGAAGTAATACCAGTACACCCTTCCGACAAGTGGTGATAACATCGGATGATGCTTTTCTGGCTGTACCAGCGGCTGACAAAGGCAGCAGGGATTGTGTTATAATTTATAGCGCGAAAACAGGAGCACTGATCAGCAAAATACCTATAAAGTTGCCCGGATTTAAGGTAACGAGCTTGCTTATAGGCAAATCAATTATTATATCATAGCGGAATAATTTTAAATGATTCAAATGAAGATAAATATTTGGCAAACGTTTGATTTGTTATAAATTTAAGCTACAGTAAAATAAAGTATAATGTTGCTACAAAAATTTATATTAATAGGATATTGTGTGTATTACACCGATGCCTAACAAACCCCAATGGATAGGTATCATTGGTTCCGATAAAGGTACAATTCTTGATATTAACAAGAAAAAGATTATACGTACGATTCCAAAATGGAGCGGAAACATCAGCAAGGATGGCAAATACACTTTGTACGCGCCTAGCAGGTGATGAAACATTATTCAAACATTTTTAATTATGTATTCTATTACAAAAAAAAAACAACTCAATATATGTATTTTAGAGGTGGTCTCGAACTCATAGAATTAAAGAAGGGTACAAGCGTAAAAACCTATATACCAAAGGTGGCTGAAGGAGTGTTTACTGTTATATCAATGTTTAATCGTACAGACGAATATGTGTTGTATTATCATAGCGGACGAAAAACAATTAGAGTTTTCAGGTAAATATACATTCAAGGATAGTGGGATTAATCTGTCAAATCATAAGAAGTTACTTCGAGATTTCGTTCAAATCTTATTTATGTCTATATATTGACTGAGTACGTTTAGAATACATTATATGTACATACATTTCACAGATCTTCGGACTGTGAAATAATAGCAAATTACAGAGTACAAGCTGAATTAAGTGCAATCGATAGCACGCATGATGGTAAGAGCATTGTTTTGGGGACAGTCGATGGCTGCGTGTCAGTATTGGCGATAGCTGACCCTCAGAAACCTGAGATGACGGAATATCTTGAAAACGTGCCGTCTCGTGATGAAGAGGTGAGAAAGAAAATTTAATAAATATATACAAGTACTTGATGTTTTGAAGAAAGAAATAAAATCAAATTTGGTTACTGTTCCTAATAAATACATGCATTTGCTAATAAATACATTTAAACCTAGGCTTGTTCTTTTTAGCTGAACTACTACTTGCACAGTTTATTTCTTTTCTCTCTTTTTTTTTTTATATTAGAAAGCTTTCCCGCATAAGACACAAATGTCCCAGTCTAACATTACATCCTCAATGACTGTGTTCAGCAGAATGTTTATTTTGCAACTGTTGAAAGTTTTCTTTGCATTAATTGGATTATGCTTACAGTAAAGTCACAAGTTGTAAACTGTAAGAAATTGGCCAAGTACAATTAAGTGTAAGAAGAATAATCATAAACTGATTAGTTATAATAATTTCTTACGACTTATGACTCTATTGTAGAACAGACCTTATACTTTTTTTAGATCTAAAGAAATGATTCTATCTCAGCAAACAATTGTCTATTCGCGTTGTTTGCACTTTTTGCATTAAGCATCTTCGCTTTCTTTCTCTTCGACGCACGAATATATATTTATCTCATTTTAAGTGCAAACATTTTTGGAGATTTCAAGCAAACGCAGACAGATCTAATCATAAAACGGTTGCAAAATTGTTGTGTTCTGCTGAATGCCATTGTGCCAGTATTAAACAAAGATGAAATCACCATAGGCCTGTTCTTTTTCCATATCTCAAAACTGAACTTCTTGCACGATTCATTTTTCTCTTCAATATGAAAAAAATACTTAAGACATTTATCTAAAAGGAAAAACTTTCTCAGAAATAAAAAAAAACAAGCATTCTCTTGTTATTTAATAAAATATTTTTTTATTTGCAACATGATAAATCGAAATGACACTTTGAATTGTTGTCAGTGTATACTAATAGAGAAACAAGTTCACGTTCATTCTAATAAAATGCCTTTTAACGCTCTCGTCAACAAAGTTGGCGTATAAACTTACTAGCAGTATACAATCTCCTATTTCATGTATTTTACCATAAAGTAAAATTAAAATTGTGCATTAAAAATAAACTTTATATTAAAATTTTCGTCGAAGCGCGCCGAGACGTGTTTACATGCGCGCACAAGTTAGGTTAGGGTTAGGTTAGGTTTATTATCACAGCAAAAGAATGTGGGTCTGAAGATTGTAGTTAGTAAATACAATCGAGATAAACGTCGAGACTTACGCGAGGTGTTGCCGATGATCCCCCAGATACTCGCATTTAATGCAATTGTCGCCGATATATCGTCGTACGGGGTAATCGTGGACCTCGCCGAGACGATGCCGTCGGTCTTTCGGCTTCGCAACAATTTCAACACTTTTCCTCACTTTTCACGTCCTTCGTGCAACCTACGAGAAATCGTAACTATATCACATCGTTTTATCACGTAGACCCTCGATCCCTTGGCGTACTCGAGCACGTGCAGCACGTGTTGCTATCCTATCGGTGTAAAGTCACGCATCGCCGTCGAATGAAATTCTTCTTCTTTCTCGTTAACGTGAAGATTTGTTCCTTCTGATGACGATTTGTTGATAGGAGAACAATTAATGAATCATTTCCACTAATAAGCAAACACGAGCCTCACCGCTATCGCGTGCTCACGATATTATCCACACCTCTCGATCCCCTCGTGCTCGTGGCGCTCGTGCAGGATCCAGCGAAAGTGGCGCCTGCGCGGATTCTAAAGCTGGAAACACAATGAAAAGCACAGGCAATAGGAATAGGAAATAACAAATTTCAACCTATCAGAAATCATATATATATATTAGAATGGACGCTTTCTGTTAAGTTAAAATCTCTTATTCCCTGTTTTTATTGCTTGTGTTTTTCATTGCGTTTCTGGTTTAAAGCCCCAGACACAATGCGAAGGAATAGTGATAGAAATAACACGATTTCAACCTATCGAAAATCAGATACACTGGAATATACAGCAACAAACTTGCGATCAGCTTGCAACTAATGTAAAACCAGCTTTAGATGACTAATGCCTGTTTCCAACAATACACATTAACTTTGATCTCGATTCAATTTACTCTTTTTCTAATCTTTAGAACTAGAAAAAGACGAAGAATAAGTTGAACCGAGAAGTTAATCTACATTGATGGAAATAGGCATTAGCCCGGATAAGAGCAACAGCGCTCTGACACAGAACACTGATTGGTGAAAAGTCGATTGAAATTTTATTTCCATCATCCGTTTTTTACCAATCAGCGTTCGGTATCAAAGCGCTGTTGCCCGTATGGAGGATCTGGGTTTAGTCATCTTAATGGACATGAGATGACTGCACATACGAGTAATAAGAATCAGAGAGTTCAGTTTAGGTAAACATAACATAACACTTATCTTTTTTATTTAATTTTTTTTTATCTTCCTTCTTTCCCTTATTAGCATTTAATTAGTCGCAATTAAGATTTATTTGATTTTAAGTGCAAAAAGTGTAATAGAATGCAACAATGAATAGGGCTTAGGGTCACTTTATGATTCGCCAATTAGCATATCGGCTGATTAATCTATTAGAATTGATCAATCGCATTTATTATTTCGTTTGACGATAGATGCGATTGGCCAATTCCAATGGACTAATCAGCCAATTACGTTAATCGAATCGTAAAATTACCCTTATATGTAATACGTTTCAAAACGTACTAAATAATTCTATAAAATATGTAATACGAACTGTAGATTTTCATTATAATTGGCTTCAGCAGAATTTATTTTGCAACGATTGAAAGTTTTTTTTAGGTTGATTGAATTATATTTTTGGATCTAAAAGTATAATCCAATCAGAGTGAAGAAAACTTCCAATAGTTGTAAATTATATCTTTTGCTGAACGCGGCCAATTGTAATAAAAATCTACAGTTCGTGTTATATATTTTATAGAATTTTTTCACTTTAATTATCTTTACCATAAAAGCGAAAGAATGATTGGCTACTGCGCCAACTTCTGCAGCGCAGTAAGAGAAGTACTGCGCATAAAAGAACAAATACAAATATAGAAACAGAAATAAATATTAAGATTTACCTAGTCAGATACCAGTTACACTGGAATATATGATTTTTGATAGATTGAAAACTTAATATTTACTCCTATTCCTAATGGATGCATTCAGTACCAAGACTGCTTACTGAGCTTTTATATCTGTTGGGTTATATATTTTTAGTTCTAACGGAATATGCCAATCAGTTGCAAAAGCACTTAGCGATTATACTGAATGCACCCACTATTTCCTGCATTGTGTGCAAAACCTTCAAGCGTGATCAATCTAGAGATTGAGAGATTGAGATTAGATTGGAATTTAATCAATCAGAAGAAAGAAAATCAATCTCAAGTTTAGTGAATTTGCTTTGATTGATTAAATCCAATCTTAATCTTTGTCTGATCATGTTTTAAGCATTACTGCGTTCAGTGTATAGAAACATATACTTTCTATTCATTAAAATAATCCTTTTGTTCTAACATAATGCTAAAAAGAACATATCTATAGATTTATATACATATAATGCATTTCGGAAAAAGTTCAAGGTACTTTTTCAGAAATTTTCATAAATTTAGAATACAAATTCTTAAAAATATTGGGGGGTATTATGAGAATTTTTCCTACCATTTTGGTATATCTATGGCATAATAAATAAACTGCGCATGTGCGATTAAAACCGTGAAAACGATGCAAAATTTAAAAATAATTCAAAGAGAATACGAGTCTCGTTCTACGAATTTTGTCCAAGTTTGTTTCTGTTTTCTTTTTTCTAATCATGTAAGACACGTCGTTCTGTTTTAGTGGAAGAAGAAGACCGAGAAGCATCGGGCGGCGATAAAATTCAAAGCTGCTGCTCGGATCGCCCGCGTGACGCACGATTTGTCCACGAGCGTGAAGTCAACTGGCGATGTCTCGCAAACGATCGAGGAAGCGGATGAAAACGCGGAATGAAAACTCGGAGTGAACTCTGAGCAAACTAGTACTTCGTATTGTCATACTTCATAGTCAAGCCTTCTTTAAAAAAAGAATGAAAAAAAATGGCAGTAGCCTCGTTAGCATTATAAGTAGGGGCTAGGGCGCATGTATTTGAAATACTTTTATTTAAAACACATTATTTGTAATACAAATGTATTTTGTAGTTCAGCAGAGCACTTGAAAGTATTACGTAGTTTGTATTTAAAATTAAAAGATTAAAAGTTATTTTTATTTTGTAATTCAAATAATAAATAAAATTGATTGTCAATTATAGTAATCAAAATACAAAATCTTCTAATCTTTCGTTATTAATACTGAAATATAAAGAAAAAAAAAACAAAATACTTTTATATGCTTCAAAGAAATACAAAATATTTTCATGTGCTCCGTTGAAATGCAATTGTCTTACAAATACTATTTTTCAAATACTGTTTTTCAAATGCCTAGCCCTGATTACAAGATCAATATAGTCTATAGTATTATAGTGAGATAATCGGTCGATCGATCGTTAAGGGAAAGGCGAGCGGTACAAAGAGAGAGAAAGAGAAAGCCTATGGCTACAGAATTTATATTACATTTATTTATGTCTTTTCCTTCGTGTAACTTTTCTTACAATCTCCCATGCCTGCTTTCTCACTCTCAATGTCTTTCCAATCGAATGGTAAACTGTGGCACGGGACGAGCTTGATCTCGTCTTCCCCGAGGATGATGCCGTTGCTCACCGGAGGGGGGGTTCGTCAGATGAGTTCGCGAGGACCGAGAGCTCCGCTTTTTCTAAAACATCCTTGGCAATGCTCGGCCCCACGCGATGGGATCACCGAGTTGCTCTTGAAAGTGTCCCGTGTGTACGAATCGCGGGCGTTCGCGATTTTCTTCCTGTCGGTCGAGACGAAAGGTTCGCTGTGCCGCTGAGAATAACATGAAATCGCTTGCGGCGAGCGAGTTTCGAAACGGAACTTGGATCATCAAGTCGTTTCGTCTCGGTGAAACTGGGATAAAAGGCACGGATGCGTTTGTTGATGGAAAATCCGCTCCCTAAACTTCCTTCTTATATTTTCTATATAGAACGCATATCGCAAGAGAAAGGCGCTTGTTTTGTTCGAAAGTGATTGTGGAAATTTGTCTTCGTCAGTTAACTTCGGCAATACATTACAATGTTATATCTCTCTTCGAACATAGCCGGAATGATCTTATCGCGACAACACATTGCAACAATAGATGGTAAATCGTTTTATTGCCGAGAGTTATAGATAAGCCGTTCTCAGTAGAATATCTTTTATAATTATTGGACATTTTCTTCGCCGAGATAGTACTATTCCTCTAAATGTAGAAATATAATTCAATCAATACAAAAAAAATTTCCAACAGTTGCAAAAAAATATTCTATTAAACGCGATCAATGAATTACACAGAATTATACAGAATTATTTTATGATGCGCTCTGGCAACTGTGCGTTTTATCCTAATTTCATGCGACGCGTTTATGCCTTCGGATATTGAAAATCGCGTCTTGAAAGCTCGGACCGCTTCATGCGGACTCGTGTACACCGTGTTTCATGGACGCAAAGGCTCTCATTTAGAAACAGAAATCGATCTCGAATCACGTCAAGATACATTGATTCTTATCGATAATCGAATCGACCTTGAATTGAACTACAGAACTACACTTCGGCGCTGTTGGTAATACATCGCGAATGTAGTGCTAGTAACGTGACAAATACGCACTGGTTGAATTAGTCGGTTCATTTGCTTTTCCATTTTTTTTTTAGGCTGGTAACTAATAATTTTATGAAGTGTATGTCTGATTGTATTTATAAAATGCTGCATATACGATACTGTTAACAATATTCGGATTAAAGTCGATGCGAAGTTTTCGAGTCGAATGTACGCGTTTTTATTTCTGTTTTTCTCCATTTGAACGAACGACTGGAGCTTGCTCGAAAATACCGATTATCCGCGATAGGCTTATCTAAATTATTCTGCAGTCGGGCTATTTTGTTTGGTATCTTATTAAATCTTCCTTTTCTTATTTCTTGTCAAATATTGGGACTTCTTCAAAAATATGCTATAGCGATCTTGATGACATAGTGCCTTGTTGGATTCTTATTGCAGTTCACCGCCCTTTTGTGTTTGCTGTTGTTGTTGATCCCGTTGTTGCTGCGCTTGTAATGTATCTTTAATATGTTTCTCAACCTGTGAAAGATAGACGGATGTATAAATAGATGATGTAAATGCAATAAAGAGATAAATTAAAAACGATCATATATTTCTTATTCAAAATATTTTTTTTCTACATACATTTTTACATCATATTTAGCAAGGAAATAGCAAAAGATACTAATTTAATTTAAATGTAAATTTAATTTAAATTTCTTTATAAAAAGACTTAAAAATTCATTCTAATCTTGTTATTGGATAAATGCTTTGAATTTGTGTTCTATTCACAAGTACTTAATAATAAGACGAACAAAACAGCTTAGCTTAAAATAACTTAAATTAGCTAGTAAATTAAGAAACATGTATGCTTGTGCATATGCTATTGCAAATATAATCCTGCTCATTTAAATATCTCATTAGTACGTACCACTTTTTTTACATGTCTATATGCACCAGATTCTGTGTTTCCATGAACATTGTCCACTTTGTACGGCGGTCTAATAGTGACATTATTAAATACAACAATATTAGCTCCATTCCACGTAATATCTTGAATAGTTTTTGAAATAGCAATAAAGAGCTTCTGTCCCTCTGGAGATACTCCGGCCTGCAGAGCCATTACCAGTCTCCTCTTCTCATCGATCTGATTACGGACTCTCGTGTTTAGCCTTTGTAAATTAAGGCTCTGTGGTGGTTCACTGGTAGTAGGACTAACTTCTCGTGTCACTTGAACGTTGGACACAAGGGATAAATTTACTATATGTATATCATTTAATGAGGGTCTCCCACTCGACGATGGAGATTCTAACAAAAATTACTATTAAGGAAAATATTACTTTCAAATACAGATAAATGTTGCTTTTCATAATTACATCTCGGTGAACAATAGTTACGACAACAGATTTATGGCAAAATAATAGCAGCTCAGCAAAAACTTTAAAGCATTAGATCATTATTATACATAATTTAATTCCATAAATATAATCATAACTTCAATGAATTCGTTGTAGATCCATTGTTATAGATTTTTAAATTTTCTGTTTATCAATAAAAAGTTGCTCCAATATATATTAAGATATTCAATGACTTAAGACTCAACAGTGACTAACATTATATACATATATATGTGTGTGTGTGTGTGTGTGTGTGTGTGTGTGTGTGTGTGTGTGTGTGTGTGTGTGTGTG